TACCCGATTTGGACTCCGCTTCAAAACACGGCACTGGATCCGCCTCCCCCTTCACAATAACATTCTATTAGACTTTGGGAAAATTAATAATCAAATGCTTCGTTTTGTATTTTCGTCATCAGTAACTTCTTTGTGTTTTCGAGCTCATATTAGCCGCTGGTCTCATAAAGTTAGCGAAAAAGACAATTCTGATTTCCTGGTTCGATTGCGCTCACTACATTAGCTCCACAATGAAGACAAGCCTACTTACAATACCCAACAAAAAGACCGAAGAGGTCTCCTGGGTGAAACCACTCAACAATTACCTTCTTTCGATATATGGCAATACATCCGCTTATCAAAGCGACATAAATGCATTTGATAAGTTGCGTCAAGATATCAGGGGTGTCCATCCTGACAACACGGGATTGCGATTGTATTTCAAATATTACAGTCAGTTGGAGGTGTTGGACGTAAAGATACAATTTGCTACGTTGAATAGATCGAAGAAGTTGGACTTTGTGTGGCATGATGCATTTTCGCCAGAGATCACCCATAGACAGAATGCATTGCCATTTGAAAAAGCCAATGTTTTGTTCAATATTGGTGCATTGTTGACGAAGTTTGCCATTTCCAAGTACAATGAAGGATCAGTAAAGGATACAATTGTAATGTTTCAGCAAGCAGCTGGGATATACGAGTACTTGAATGAAAATTTCCTCCATGCACCTAGTGATGACTTGAGTCAGTCTACCATCAAATTTTTGAGCAAGTTGAGTCTTGCTCAGGCGCAAGAAGTGTTTACATTGAATGCAATTACTAATGATTTGAATCAACTGAAGAATTCGTTGATTTCCAAGTTGTGCAAATCAGCAAGCTTGCAATTTGAAGAATGCTACAATATGATTGGAGAGAAGGAAAGTTTTGAAGTTGTTGAAGATGACGTGAGTAATGACGAGACAAATTACGTCACTGCAGAGTTGGATCCTTCCTGGGCGTCAATCATAAACTTCAAGATCCAATATTATAAGTCGTTGGCGTTTTACTTTCATGCTTTGCAGCTTGAAGCAGGGAGAAAATATGGTGATGCAATTGGATTTCTCAACCAATCAAGTTTGGTTTTGGAAAATATAGACCCGGGACATGTGTATGATTTGTTGGACAATTACAACTATCAGAAAGATGCAGTGAAGATCAAAACAGATGAGTTGGTAAAGGACAATGACTTGATTTATCACGATTTGGTGAAAAAAGATGTCAATTGGAATCAGTTGACGCAAATGCAAGTGTCAAAAATCGTGCCATTGAACGATATACCTATGCTAAAGGAGGTCAACCAACAAGGCTATCAAAACTTTTTAAGTGATGTTGTACCCATCAACATCCACGAATTGTCCAGTTTCTACTCGGAGGAAAAGTCGCAATTGTTGAGAAACGAGATCGATTTCTATGAGGTGTCAAAAGAGGAGACTGAATCGTTTCTTGAGCTGCTAAAGTTGCCGAAAGCATTGCATCAGATTAAGCAAGCATTGAAGTCTGAGGAGGAGGGGGATGAGGAGGGGATTCCTTTAGAAATCATTTCCAAAGTGAGAGAAATATCTAACTCTTATGAGAGAGACCAGCAATTGGAGGAAGAAAATGGGAAATTGAGACAAAGGATCTACGAGACAATTTCAAACATAGATTCGGAAGAAGCCGTCAATCTCAAAAGAGCTCTTTATGAAGCCTCCAATTCCGATAAAAAGATTGCGTCATTGATTGATAAATCTTTTTACAGTACACTTTCGAAGGGACCTGGAAGTAATCAGTTTCGCCAGCTATTTACCGTATCTAACTCAGAAGTTAGCCTAATTGATCAAGACGATTCCCAGGATGAACAAATTAGAACTTTGGAAACATTTTTATACGACTTGGGCACCATCAAGGGCAATAAAGCAAGCTTGATTGAAAAATTGAAAAAGGATATTCATTCTGATGACATTTCAAACATCTTGATGTTAAATGCAAAGCAAATGAGTAATAATGAAATCAAGAGTGTGATTTTCCCTGCCGAGTTGAAAAAGTTCCAACCATTCATTGACAAGTTGGATAACTTGATCAATAGAGAAAAGTCGATACTTTCGGATGTGAAGGCAGAATGGAGCAGACTCTTGAGTGATCCTGCTATTAAGAAGTTGCAATCTAGAACCCAAGAAAAAGCTCAATTGTGGAGTGACAATATTGAAAAGATTGAGCAGTTTTACAAAAAATGGACCCAATATCACGCCGGTTTGGAGAAGGGAAACTCTTGGTACACCAAATTTCTCCAACATTGCGAAGGATTAGCTAGTTTCAACCTAAATGCATTGCTGTTGGATGACGCAAGAAGACAATCGAGTTCTACGCAGTTGCCTCCTTACAATCCACCACTTTTGCAACCGCAGTTTTCCGGATTTACACAGCCAGCACATACTAGCACGTCACTGTTACTGAGCACACATCAACCGTATGCTAGACCCCCACAATTACCACCAAAGAATCCATCAATTGATGCAAAGCATTCATCTCAAGAGCCATCACAGTCAAAACTCCCGCCTTGGCATACAAACAAAAGCTCTGATTCAAAGAGTGGCTTAATCTACGATCAACCTTCGACTTATGATCCTAATATGTACGATTTCTTTAGTAAGTAAAAAAAAAAAAAAGAAACAGAGCCATTGCTATATGTCTGATACGTGCTTTCATATTATAGTGCAGCCTGACTCCTTCCGCCCCGCCCCCCCTTTGAAACTTACTCTCGCGTAATTAATTGTCCAAATCAGGCAATACATAAACAAGGTCGTGTAAATCAGACTAAGAGGAAAAAAAGAAAAAGAAGAAAAAGAAAAAGAAAAACCTCAAACCTCTCTGTCACGCCTCATTGATTTCTCAGGCTGAGTAAAGTGGGTTGATCTTCAAAGCTTTCTTTCTACAGCTACACTTTTCCCTAGTCTTTCGTTTCTTAAAATTCCGCTCGTTTAAATGAAGGCCATCTACTTTCTATTCTTGACACTACTAAGTGTAGTAGTGCTTGCTGCTGATGTTCAGAAATGTAACGCAACTCAAAACTGTCCTGAGGATGCACCATGCTGTTCCCAATTCGGTGAGTGTGGTTCTGGTGCTTATTGTTTAGGAGGTTGTGATATCAGGTACTCCTACAATCTCACTGCTTGTATGCCTATGCCAAGAATGGATGACTATTCCAAAACATTCAACTCAAAGAGTGACATTCAAAGCATTGAACAAGTTGGTGATTACTTGGGTAATGCAACAGAGGCCGATTGGGTATACACTGGTTGGATCGACTACTACGACAATGCGTTGTTATTACAAATGCCTAATCATACTACCGGTACAGTCCTTTCGTCAACTAAATACTTGTGGTACGGTAAGGTCTCGGCCACATTGAAAACATCACACGGTGGGGGTGTTGTTACTGCATTTATTTTATTCTCTGATGTGCAGGATGAGATTGATTATGAATTTGTTGGGTACAATTTACAGTCAGCAGAATCCAATTTCTATGCTCAAGGGAAGTTGAATTATACAAACTCGAAAAATTCCAGTGTTAATGACACTTTTGCAAACTATCACGTGTATGAAATGGATTGGCACGAGGATCACATCACTTGGACTGTTGATGGCAAAGATGTTCGTACATTGAACAAAAACGATACTTGGAATGAGACTACCAAGAGGTACGAGTTTCCACAAACACCTTCAAGAATTCAGTTTTCCTTGTGGCCAGGTGGTGATCCTTCTAATGGTCAAGGTACTATTGAGTGGGCTGGTGGTGAGATTGATTGGAATGCAGAGGATATTCAAAAGTATGGATACTTCTACGCCCATCTCAAAGATGTCGAGGTTCAGACCTATGACTTGCCAGATAATGTGAAACTATCGAGTAATTCCACAAATGCAGATGACTATCACGCATTTCTTTACAACAGCACCGATGGGGATGACTCCAACATATACTTGACAAATAAGAAAACGTGGTTGGGCAGTGGCGATGCTTCCGGGTTGGATCCAGATAATGATCGAGATTCACAAGATCAGAATCAAACGACAACCATTGTGAAAACAAGTGGAGCGTCAACCATAACCAGTGTGCAAACCACAAGCAGACGAGTTTCTGCCAATGTCCCAGCACAAAACACGGCGGCTGCAAACCAAGCTACTGCAGCAGATCAACCGCAGGCAACCACCACCGACTATGATCCAAGTGCAGGAGTTGGTGGATTCGTTCAAAATTCAAGACAGTCAGCTTCAGATTCCAGCACTGGAGGTGCTGCTGGTAGAGCCAATCTTGAAGGAGAAGGCGTGTTGTTTGCAATTGCATTAGGATTCATTTCTTACCTCGTATAGTATGGTCATTTAGAATAGTTGAAAATAAAAAGTTTAATCTCTTTGTACAATGCAATTGGTAGTTGTTTGTCTATGGGTGTTGCGTGTCAACAAAAAATTCGTTGAAATAATTTTCTTTTTTTCAACGAACAACAACAACAACAACAACAACAACAACAGCACAGCACGGCCCGGCACGACATAGCACAGCACAGCACAGGGCAATTAAAGTCACAGCACAGTCACCATGAAGATGCTAACCAAATTTGAGTCCAAGTCATCAAGGGCTAAAGGGGTGGCATTTCATCCAAAGAGACCTTGGTGCTTGGTGTCGTTACACTCCTCCACCATCCAATTATGGGACTACAGAATGGGCACCTTGATTGATCGTTTTGAAGATCATGTGGGTCCAGTAAGAACAGTTAATTTCCATCCAACCCAGCCATTATTTGTTTCTGGTGGCGATGATTACTCAATCAAAGTGTGGTCATTAAACACAAGAAAATGTATCTTCACCTTGAATGGTCATTTGGATTATGTGCGTGGAGTCTCTTTCCATCACGATTTGCCGTGGATTTTGTCGTGCTCCGATGATCAGACCATTAGAATTTGGAATTGGCAAAATAGACAAGAGATTGCTTGTTTAACGGGTCACAACCACTATGTTATGAGTGCTCAATTCCATCCAACTGAGGATTTAATCGTTTCGGCAAGTTTGGATCAAACCGTGCGCGTGTGGGATATTTCTGGATTGAGAAAGAAGCATTCAGCACCTACTTCGACTAGATCATTTGAAGATCAGCTTCAAAGGAACCAATTGCCTCAACAGGATATCTTTGGTAATATAAATGCCATTGTCAAGTACGTTTTGGAAGGTCATGATAAGGGGGTCAACTATGCCGCTTTCCATCCTACTTTGCCATTGATTGTGTCTGCTGGAGATGACAGATTGGTGAAGTTGTGGAGAATGAGTGATACGAAAGCTTGGGAAGTTGATACCTGCAGGGGCCACACTGGTAACGTATTGAGTGCTATTTTCCACCCACAGCAAGACCTCATTTTGTCGGTTTCTGATGACAAGACTATTAGAGTTTGGGATTTGAACAAGCGTGTTCCAATCAAACAATTTAGAAGAGAAAGTGATCGTTTTTGGTTGATTGCAAGCCATCCGAGTATCAATCTCTTTGCTGCTTGTCATGATTCTGGTGTCATGGTATTCAAGTTGGAAAGGGAAAGACCTGCTCATGCACTTTTCCAAAACAGATTGTATTACATCAATGCTGAAAAGCAAGTGCAAGCTTTTGATTTCCAAAAGCAGGAGAGCACATTGCCAATGTTGTCGTTGAAAAAGATTGGCAAAGCGTGGTCTTTTATGAGAACTTTGGCTTACAACCAAACCGATAATTCAATATTGGTTGTTCATGGAGAAGGGGACAACTCGAACTATGCTTTGATTACGTTGCCCAAACATGCCACTGGTGCTATTGAACCAACAGACATCAAACAAGGAGAAGGAAATTTTGCCACTTTTATCTCAAGAAACAGATTCGCTGTTTTTATCAAGAGTTCCAAAACATTGCATGTCAAAGATTTGGGCAACAATGTAACCAAGACGATTCAATTGGACCTGTCAGTAAATGATGTGTTGCCTGGAGGTCCGGGACGTGTATTGTTGGTCAAAGCCCATTCAGTGATCAACTACGATGTTCAACAAAAGAAGGAATTGGCTGAACTTAGTGTAAACAACGTCAAGTATGTGAGTTGGTCCAATGACGGTCAGTACTTGGCGCTCTTGTCTAAACATACAATCTCCATCGCCAACAAGGATTTGGACTTGATTACATCAATGCATGAAACAATTAGAATCAAGAGTGCGTCGTGGGATGATTCTGGTGTTTTGTTGTATTCGACATTGAACCACATCAAGTACACATTGTTGAATGGAGACAATGGAATCATCAAAACGTTGGAGAATACCGTGTACATTACAAAAGTCGCTGGTAACTTGGTTTATTGCTTGAACCGTTCAGGTCAAGTTGAAGTCATCAAAATTGATCCGACTGAGTACCGATTCAAGCGTGCATTGGTTAATAAAAACTTTGGTGAAGTTTTGAGAATCATCAAGAATTCAACATTGGTTGGACAAAATATCATTGGGTACTTGCAAAAGAAGGGGTTCCCTGAAGTTGCCTTACACTTTGTTCAAGATCCAGAAACTAGATTTGAGTTGGCTTTGGAATGTAGTAATTTGCAAGTTGCTTTGGAACAAGCCAAGATCTTAAACAATAACAAGATTTGGGAGAAATTGGGTGAAGAGGCATTGTTGCAAGGAAACATTGACATTGTTGAGTTTGTTTACCAGCAATTGCACTTGTTTGATAAATTGGCATTTTTGTACTTGTTCAAAGGTGATGGTGAAAGATTGAATAAAATGACCACCATTGCTGAACATAGAGGCGATGCTTCAGCTGTGGTGCAAAACACCTTGTACAATAACGATGTAAAGAAAAGATGTGAGGTGTATATCAAAAGTGGAATGTTGCCATTGGCGTACACTTTGGCAAAGTCCAACAATTTGAATGATTATGCTGCACAAATCTTGGAGGATGCTGGTGTTTCTGAAAAGGATGTTGAGTTGCCTGAGTTGGGTGATGCTGTTCCTCTTCCGCAACCTATTGCTGAGCCAATTACAAACTGGCCATTGAAAGAGTCGTCGTTGTCATACTTTGAAACTGCTTTGCTTACTGGAAAGGTTGACAATTTGTCACATGAGGAGGAAAAAAGTGTACTAGTGACTGAAGATGGTAGTAACTCGCAGTACGATGACGCGCTCGAAGAGCCACAAAACAATGATGAAGAAGAAGAAGAAGAAGGTGACGCTTGGAATCTCGATGAAGAGTTGGATATTGGTGGTGATGATGTTGTGGGTGCGGACGAAGCGTCTGATAATGCCGGTGCATCCACCACTTTCCAAGAGAATGAAATTGGTGATTGGTTGCGTAATGCCAAGACACCAGCCACATACGTTGCTGCTGGTGCATTAGAGCAAGCGGCTTTATTGTTGAATAAACAAGTTGGTGTTTCAAACTTTGAGCCATTACGCGAGAGGTTTTTGCAAGTTTATGGTGCCTCGAAATTGTATTTACCTGGAGTCAATGATTTGCCTGCCATGAAGACATTTATCAGAGAGGATGCTGATGAAGAGGATTCTAAAAAGTTTAGACCTGAGGTTCCTGGATACGACACCTTGGAGGAGCAATTGCAACTTGCATTTAAGAAATTCAAAGCCAACAATCTTGAAGATGCAATCAAGACTTTTAGACAAGTGATTTACACAATCACCGTGTTGAATGTTGATGATGATGCAGCAGAGACCAAATGTCAAGAAGTTTTGGTCTTGTGTCGTGAGTACATTCTTGGTTTATCTATTGAACTAGCCCGTCGTGGCTTACCTGCCACTGACGTGAAGCGCAACTTGGAATTGGCATCATACTTCACCAAAGTTCAATTGCAACCAGCACACAAGTTGAATGCATTGAATGTGGCCATGACTCAATCTTTCAAGAACAAGAATTATGCCAGTGCATCGTACTTTGCTGAAGAGTTTTTGAAAATCTCAAATACGGGACCTCGAGCTGATCAAGCGCAGAAATTGAAGGCCAAGGCTGATTCAATTGCGAGTGACTCAGTTGAAATTGATTTTGATCCGTTTGCTGAGTTTACCATTTGTTGTGGAAGTTTTACGCCAATTTACAATGGTGAGCCTAGTGTGAGTGAAGCCTTGGTTGGTGCCACTTATAAGCCAGAGTATAAAGGATCTATTTGTAAAATTACAGAGATTACCACGGTTGGAGTACCTGCTTCTGGGTTGCGTATAAGGACATAGTTGTGGAAGCGTATAAATAAAAAAAAAAAAATGGATTAAGTTGTATATGACCTTTGATTGTGTTGAGGTGTGGGGGGAGGGGGGGGAAGAATGAAAAGTCACGTGTATTTTATAGTAAAAAGTGCAGTAGCAGTTTCATAACTCATTCAGCGTCGACTATTAGCATACATAGGCAGTGTATTCTGTGTGCTTGAGTTTCAAATGTAACCCTTGTATTATTGTTGGGTACGCCTCAGTTTTGTTTCTCCTACAGAAGCAGTTGCCTGTCATCAACAAATTGAACATCTGCAACTACAAACTACAAAAACAACTATGATTTAAACAAAGGCCAATTTCCGCCGTTCTCCCCCCCCTCTTTCTGAGTCTTTTCTTTTTTTTTTTTTCGTTTACTTCACATTGGATCAGATCTCGATCTCAACAAAAAGCACACCCCTGTATATACTTTATTACAGACCTATCATAGCCAGAGTATACAGATACAGATACAGATACAGATACTGTTCATCCGGATCAAAAAGAAAAAGTAATCTTCACTGGCCACTTTTGTCTTTTTTTTTTTTCTTCGTACAGTCTGAAACAGAACACTCGCATTATTCCCAACAACTCCCGCGGTCAACTGGTGACCTGTTAATATAATATTCCTTGTCACATTAGACACACTATTCAACACACTTAAGCATACATTGCCACACATTGTCACACATTGCCATACATTAACACACATTAGCACACATTACCTCGCATTTTACACATGAAAGGATTGACGCTATTTGGATCAAGACTGCCCTACCTCAAATACGTTGCTGTAGTATTGACGGTGTTGGTGATATACACACTCACCCATCATGGTGCCACGCTGTATATGGATATCAACAAAGAATTGCAACAACAAGTGAAGCAGCCGCAGCAATCAGATCCAGCGAGCGGAAAAGTTCAAGTTCCAGAACAACTAAAGCACAAACCAAAAGCCTCTGTTGAAGATATCGAAAAGTTCCAAGAGCAGCTCTTGCTGGGTGATAAAACTGGATGGGAGGCTACAGAGTTACTCAGTGAAGAGGAAAGACTTGCCGCGGTTGCTCAAGTGAAAGAATGGGCCCAGCTTAATAAAGAAAAGCAGAATGGGAAGGATAATGGTGCAGGTGCAGGTGCAGGAGAATCGGCACAAGGACAATCTCCACAACAAGCTGAACTGGCACCTGCTGTTGCTGATGCTGGATCTGCTTCCGGATCCGCCTCAACGGTCGCTTCCAATGAGAAAGTCAAAGCAACCTTTGTCACCCTTGCCAGAAATCAAGAACTTTACGACCTCATCAAATCGATCCGAGTAGTTGAAGACCGCTTCAACCACAAATACAACTACGACTGGGTTTTCCTCAACGATGTTGAATTCACTCAAGAATTCAAAGATCTAACCTCTGCGATATGTTCAGGTAAAACCAAATACGGCCTCATCCCCAAAGAGCACTGGTCGTACCCAGATTGGATAGATTTGAACAAGGCGGCTGAATCGCGGAAAAAAATGAAGGAGGATAAAATCATTTATGGAGATTCGGAATCTTATAGACACATGTGTCGATTTGAGTCGGGGTTTTTTTGGAGGAACCCGTTGTTGGATGAATATGAATGGTATTGGCGTGTTGAACCTGGTATTGAAATCCATTGTGACTTGAATTATGATTTGTTCAAGTATATGCAAGATAATGATAAGGTTTATGGGTTTACCATATCGATCCATGAATTCGAAAAGACAATCCCCACATTGTGGCAACATACAAAAGATTTCATTGAAAAGAACCCGCAATATGTGGACAAGGACAATTTCCTTGACTTTATCAGTGATGATGGTGGTAAGACTTACAACTTGTGTCATTTCTGGTCCAATTTCGAAATTGCAAATTTGAAGTTTTGGAGAGGAGAAGCGTACAAGGCATATTTCGAGTATTTGGATGCTACCGGTGGGTTCTTTTACGAGCGTTGGGGAGATGCTCCCGTACACTCTATTGCTGCTGCGTTGTTCTTGCCTAAATCCAAAATCCATTATTTTGAGGATGTGGGATACAGACATCATGTGTATGGACAGTGTCCTTTGAACCCGCAGTATAGGTATGAGCACAAGTGTTCGTGTAACCCTAAGGATGATTTCACATTTAGGGGTTATTCGTGTGGTAAAAAGTATTATGAAAAGATGGGGTTGACTAAGCCTGCTGAGTGGGTGAATTATCAATAGAGTAGAGGGGGGAATTTAAAGAGACTGTTAAAGATAATTGATTAAAATATACATTCTATTTATTCAGAATACTTTGTAAGAAGAGTATTACTCTTGATGAAACTCTTGTGTTATATCAAGGCGTATAAAGCTTGCTGTAGCTGCATATGAAGGGGTTCATCTTAGAAAGGGAAAGTTGAATTTCTGTGTCGTGCCTTTGTCGCAGTTTCCGCGTGAAAAATTAAAAAATTAATAAATGACACGTCACATGAAAAAAAAAAAAAAAAAAGATTCACTTTACAGACAAGTAAGACGCGACACAGCACAGGGTTTTGAAGACTGTAACTACAATTTGGCTAGGATCAGTCCACTTCGCTAGTAGAGAAACCCTTGTTAGCTATTTTAGTTCTTTTAGTTGGAGACACAATTTCTGGATTCTGAATTATACTGCACAGTATATTACTTGGGATTTAAAACACCTCACAAAATGAAGAAGATCTAAAAATGGACCAGCGAATAGAATTGATAATACCAAAGGAAAAGAAGCAAAGCGTGGTTAAGAAGATTGAAGGGGACTGAGTTTGGCTCTTGTGACTTCAAACAGACTATTCTATGAATAGAGTGTCTCTTTTATTCTACAGACTTCGCTCGCCTGTGACTGTCCCCTCCTTCTCCTCCCCTCCTTCCTCTTTATTCTTCATGTAGCTTTGGATCTTCCGTAGGAAGTATAACTACTACTTAGTCGTAGTGTAAAGTAAGAGAATCAAGCGTCTATATTACTGGGCGATCCAAACATAGGCTGTGCTGTATGTACTTTGTGTAAATTTCAGACTCTATGTGCTCCAATATACGAGACGAAAAAATATACCCAACGCAGGATTTGATACAACGTCGAGATAGCCAATAGACTGCATCACACTACACCACAACTTTATCTTCTTCTTCTTCTTCTTCTTTCTTTCACCTCTTCTATCAAACTATCCCACTCCATTTGCAGCAAAGACGATACATTTGTTCGAGGAGGGGAGAGATAGACAGACACACACGTATACACACAATCACAATGTCCTCAACTAGATCCAATGCCCGTTTGATCAGATTCGGGATCTTTGCCTTAGTATTGATTGGTTGCGGGTTCATACTCACAAAGGGCACCTCTTTCCAGTCTCCGGAATTGTCAACGTCGTCACCACCACCGCAACAACAACAACAACAACAACAACAACAACAACAACAACAACAACAATCTCCTAAACAGTCGCCATCATCGCCATCTTCATCGTCGTCGTCGTCGTCTCAGCAAAAGGGCACAGGCGATGGCTCACTCCAAAACATTGAGCTTCCATACACCCCTAAAAACATGGGTCCAATAGCCAAGGCCCACGTTGGTGGTGACGGTAACCCACAGTACATTGATCAGAAAAACATTGATCCTGCCACGTACTCGCCCGAAAAGGACAAAATCAAAGCCACGTTTGTTTCCTTGGCTCGTAATAAGGATTTATGGTCTTTGATGGATTCCATTAGGCAAGTTGAAGACCGTTTCAATCGTAAGTACCACTACGACTGGGTGTTCCTTAATGAAGTTGAATTCGATGATGAATTCAAAACCACTGTGTCTGCTGCTGTTAGTGGTGAGGCCAAGTTTGGATTGATTCCCAAGGACCATTGGTCATACCCACCATGGATCGATCAGGAAAAAGCGGCATTGGTGAGAGAACAAATGAGAGAAAAGAAGATCATTTATGGCCACTCTGAGTCTTATAGACACATGTGTCGGTTCGAGTCTGGATTTTTTTGGAGACAAGATCTCTTGAAAGATTACGAATACTACTGGCGTGTTGAGCCTGACATCAAAATCTTCTGCGATATCGACTATGACATATTCAAATGGATGAAGGACAATGACAAGAGTTATAGTTTCACCGTGTCATTACCAGAATACAAGGAAACCATCCCTACATTATGGGACACTACCAAAGAATTCATTGAAAAGAACCCACAATACTTGGCAGAAAACAATATGATGGAATGGTTGAGTGACGACAAGGGCAAAACGTACAATGGATGTCATTTCTGGTCCAATTTTGAAATTGCCCGTTTGGATTTCTGGAGAAGTGACGCATACAGACACTATTTCGAGCATTTGGATAAGGCCGGCGGGTTCTTTTATGAGCGGTGGGGCGATGCTCCTGTGCATTCGATTGCGGCTGCCCTTTTTTTGCCTAAGGATAAAGTCCACTTTTTTGAAGATGTGGGGTATTTCCATGTCCCGTTTAATAATTGCCCCGTTGATCCCAAGATCAGATCTGAGCGTAATTGTGTTTGTGATCCAAATAAGGACTTTACTTGGAAGGGGTATTCATGTGTTTCAAAGTACTACACGGTGAATAATTTCAAGAGACAAAAGAATTGGGAGAAGTTTACCGGGTAGAGGTATAGAGAGAGAGAGAGAGAGA